GTCGGGAGCGGGGCGGCCACTCGCGCCTCTGCTCTCCCCCTCCCCGCCTCTCAGCCGCGACGCTCTGGAGCTCCGCCGCCGACATGGGCGCCTCCGCGTGGGCACCGCCACACCTGCTGCTGCAGGCGTCTCTCCTGCTTCTGCTGCTGCTGCCGCTGCCGCTCCGGGGGCGGTCGGCGGACTCCTGGGACCTGGCCGGTTACCTGCTCTACTGTCCCTGCATGGGTAAGGCCTCCCGAGCCCACTGCTCAAATGGAGAAACTGAGGCTGGGGAGGCGGAGCCACGTCTGCGAGGCGCCTAGAGACGCCTCGTCAGGTCTAGGAGAACCTCCCGGAGCGGGACAAGGGATGCTCTTCGCTGCCCTAGCTGCACGGGTGCAGAGGGGCCACTGGTGTTCAACTTGCCATTCGTCGGACAGGAGAAGCTAAGTGACTCACTCGAAGTCTAATCTGAGACCAGTAAATGGAGTTTGTCGGGCAAGACTTGCCCGCGCTAAATCGTGGCAGTTCCTACATTCATTCAGCAAGTATTTATGTGCCACCTTTTTTTTTTTTTTTGACCCAGGCACTGACTTCTGTGCCTGTAGTGAATGAGACAGATAAACCTCATACATACCCTTTAGATCCTTCATTTTAGGAAGACAGACAATAAAACAAAGTTTTGTTTTTGTTTTTTTAAGTATGTGAATAATTTGGTACAAGATGATAAAAACTGAGGTAATAAAAGATAACAAGGACTCTTAAGAACCAGTCCAGGGATGCAATTTAAATGGAATAGTGGATCACCAATGAAAAATCCATTCCTTCTTACAACCCTTAGTTGCTTGCATACCTGACCATGGCTGTCATCGTGGATGAGGTGGCTCCACTCTGGTCTTCTCCACACCCCTTCTTCCTTGGCCCTCCAGCTACAGACACACTAACCTGCTTTCTTCTGTTCCTCACACACACAAAGGTCTACGAGTTATTCCCTCTTCCTGGAACAGCCTACTCTAATTTCTGCCCCCACCCCACCCTTCTCATCCTTGAGGCCTTAGCATACACACCAGAAAGGACTGACCCCACTGATCTCTCTGCTCAAGTAATTTCTTTAGTTTCCCATTACCAAGCCTTTTCGTTTTCTTCTTACAACTCTCAAAATCTATCATAATGAATTTGTTTTCATGTTTGGTGTCTCCAAACCTGAATTAGGACTGAGTGCCTGGAGGGCAGGGATATTTACCTTTGCTTGATTTTTATATTGTAACATCTAACATTTTATATTGTGGCATCCGGCACATTTTGGCCTTGCAGTGTTTTTGGAGTGGATGAATGGATGCCATATTGATGATAGCTTAGTGTGATTGCATATAACTAAAATCTCAGAATTGGAAGCCAGAGGCAGGCCAGCCTGATCTACATAGAGCAGCCAGGACTACATAGTGAGAACTTGGCAAAACAAACAAACAAAAAACAAATAGGCCTTTATATGCGAAACATCCACAGGCTGAAAAAAACAGTTGATACAAAAAGCCAGAAAGTGGGGGAAAAAAGACATTTGAGGGGAAATGGCAAATGTAAATAACCCAAGTTGTGGGTGTAGCTCAATAGTAGTGCACACATGCACGCAACATGTTTGAGACCCTAGGTTAAATCCCTGGCACATAAATAAATCCATAATCTGATTACACAGCTGTAATCCTAGCATTTAGGAGGAAGAGGCAGGAAGATTGTCACAAGTTCAAGGACAGCCTGGTCTATCAAACAAGTTTCAGGACAGCCAAGACTACACAGACCCTGTCTCAAAAAAAAAAAAAACAATAACTCAAATCCATGCTGAGAGCAAGAGAATTGGTTAGGGGTAATCAAAGTGTCTTAGCAAATGAGGTATCAGGGTCACCCCCCTTCTTGTTCAGGTAAGTAGAAACAGGCCAAAGGACACTCCTGGCAAAGAAAACAAGTAGGGATTATGGAGCGTGTTAGGGAAATAGCATGGAATCTGGGTGACTAAGCAATGTCAAGTGTGGCAGCCTAGACCTTCTCTTAGGTGCCAGTGTTACTAACTCCCCAGGGTGACTTGACCCTCCCCCATCTCACCTGTCCGTCTTTTCTGAGCCCTTCATACATCATGCCTTTAGTGCCCCAGACCACTCTACCCACAATCTACCATTTCCAGGGCGCTTTGGCAACCAGGCCGATCACTTCTTGGGCTCCCTGGCATTTGCAAAGCTACTGAACCGCACCTTGGCTGTACCTCCATGGATTGAGTACCAGCATCACAAGCCTCCTTTCACCAACGTGAGTACTTGTGTTAACTCGGCCCCTGTCCACCTTCCCCATGCTGGCTGACTTGTTTGACTTTAAGGCCTCTGGCTTTCACTTCCACTCCAGGCTTGTCCTGTTCTCTTCCTAGAATTGTCTTCCTTGAAATAGCATCTTTTTTACCCAAGACCTGCCATGTGCTGGCACTGTCTGAACACTGCGTGAGGATTAGCTCATCTTTCCCACAGCTCATCCTCGAGGAAACCCAGGTTTAGAGGGGTGAGGTAACTTGCCCAAGATTGCACAGCCTGTGGGTAGTACTTGAATTCAACCCCAAGGCTGACTACTTCCAGAGACTGTCTTGAAATTAAAGTCTCCATTTCCAGTCCTGATTCACCCTACCTTATGTACATCCTATTGGTCAGTAGTAGGTGATAAGTGATCTTATCAATTATAAAGGAGGGATTGAGGCATGGCTTAGTAGTATGTCCAAGGCTACCAACCCAGGCAGTCTGGCTCCAGTGCTGCCTCTCATCCCAGCAAGAGGTCCCTGGGCACGACTTTCTCATCATTTGCTGATACTTAGCTTATTCTTTGTGTCTTCCCGTGGCCTCCTGCTTCCTTCTGTTCACCATGTCCCCAGAGACCTGGATGTGGGAACTTAATATTAATGAATTGACTTTAAAAGTTTAAGTAGTTAACAAAAAGTTAAGTAGTTTATATATATATACACTTAGCACGAACAGAACACCGTTTTTAATTCCCCTGCTTTTTCTCTGCATGTATTTTATTTTTTTCTTTGCATGGAAGTTGTATAGCCTGGGCAAACTACTTCATATTTCTGTGCCTCAGTTTTCTCATCTTTACGATAACCTGTGATGATTGGCTACCTCATGATGAGGATTGAATGAGTTACTGACAGGAGTGCCTTGATCCTGTCTCAGGTCTTCCTCTTAGAATCTGCTAGGCTCCTCAGTATACCGATCCAGGACACAGAAAGTTCCTCAGATCTGACTTATTAGGCTTTACAGATAGAGTTATTGCTCATCTGTCTCGCTCTTGCTGGATTGCTGTATCCTAGCCTTCTCAGCCAGTTGTCATACTGAGTCTCCACTTCTTTACTGTCTATGGATTTCACAACCTGTCTCAAGTAAGCTTCCAGTTCCTAAAGTGCCTATTGTCACTGAGGTCACCAGCGACCTCAGAATTGCCAAATCAAGGTTTATTTCTCAAACTGTGTCTTACCTGACCACCCAATGACTCCCTATGAGCCTCTCCTCTTCCTAAACTTCTATCCTCCCCGGCTTCCAGGACATTGCTTCTGCAGTCCTGACCTCAGCAAGGTTCCATTTTTTTGTGCGTCAATCGGGTGATGTCCTCCCTCTGCTTGGTGTTAGCTCTGTAGCTCAGATGAGTCAGGTGAGCAGACCCTTGTACAAGGCTGAGTACAGCACCTGGAACTAAGTCAGCACTCAGTGAATAGCAGCAGCGCTGCTACCATTAGCTGACTGTTGTAGGTGCCATTGACTAGATGGGTTCATGTTCTCCTTACACCTCCAGTACACCTCTGGGACAGGTGCTGTTCTGACCACAGGCTTGTGTAACTTAATGTTAGTTGTCACAGGTATCTCAGATTTCAAAGGCTAGAACTGCACTTGTTATCTTTGCCTACAAACCCTTGTTACCATCTGCAATTCCAGCCTCAGTGTACACCTTCTCCACTCACCTGGGCTCTAGATTTCATCCTGAATGCCCCTCTTGAATACACACTCGGCTCTCAAAGCCTCAGCTTCACCTTCTTTGGTATCTAGAGCACTTCATATCTCACTTAGATGTATGGGAGGTACATATTAACTGCATGCTTAATAAGCTGGGTGTGGTGGCTCATGCCTGTAATTCTGGCTCTTGGGAAGCTGAAGTAGGAAAATTGCTTTGAGCTTAAGACCAGCCTGGGCTGCATGGGAATGTCTCCAAATTTCTTTTAAAATAAAACTAAGTGAATAAATAATGGATTCTTGAACAGATATAAGAATCATTATAGTAACTCCGTAATTCCCCTCCCTCTTCTGTTCTTAAGTAGTCAGTGAAATCTCCTTTCTGTCAGCAGATCAATTCTTCCAGAAAAGCAAACCTTGCTAACTGTGATGAAGTCCTGTACCTCTAGCACTTGGAGGCTGAGGCAGGAAGATTGTAAATTCAAGGCCAGTCGGAACTACATACAAGTACCAGGCTAGCCATGGCTATATAGTGAGATCCTGTATCTCAAAAAAAAAAAAAAAAAAAAAATCCTGTCTAGTTTCAGAAATGCTAGTTCCAATTCCCATTATCCCAAGCTTTTAGATTGA